ACACATTTAAACTTTATGCCTAGAAACATGGTGAATTTTTTTTTTTCTTTCTGGCTGTTGCCAACATGTTTTGGGGGGCTGACTTATGAAGTGATAAAATTAAATATCCAAAATCCCCTCTGCATAAATCTTTAACTTTAATGTCAACAAATTAAAAAACTTTTGAAACTGGCTTTATCCAATGTTCATATTTCTGTTCTGTAATCTTATGCCAATTAATGCATATTTAATTATATAAGGCCTCTTTTGCATATTTAAACGTTACATTTAAATAAACTTGTTATACAAGTTTGATTTGTCCTGTAAATGGTTTGATATTAATAGTAGTTTTAGCAGCAGCTTGAAATATTACATTTATGCATTGCAAATGTTATGCATTTAGCGGGTGCTTTTATTCAAATACCAAATGCACCACCTTTATTATTAAAATTCTGTACAGTTATTGTCGATTACCAATGCAAAAGTGTCGGTACATCAATGCATCTGTATTTTGGAGGAAACGTTTAGTGCAGGAAAGATCTCAGGAAGCGTTTCTTTCACTCCGAACTCTTCAAGCAGGGCCAGAAAGGTATGCAGAGCCTCCTTCAAACGCAGTTGAGTGTGTCTTAGTGGATCGGACACAAAGCCTTCCTGTGTGTGATGGACTGAGGAGGCTTTTTTATACAGGAGAAAAACTCCCTCACACACACAGAATGTGTAAAGACCGAAATGTCATCAGTGTTCACTCAAGTGTGCATGCATTTGTGTGTGCGCTTGCGTGCATCATGTCCTAGTGTGTGTGTGTGTGCAAACCAGATGCTGCTTTCCTGTTCAGATCCCATTATCAGATGGTTCTGTAACCTGATTATTCAGCAACTGCGCCTAATTCGTCAGTCTCGTACAGAGCTCGGCAAAAGTCTCCATTATCTGATGATATTTGTATAAATTGGTGAAATTTTGAATCAAAGAGAATATCGATGCACTGCTTGACATATAATGGCTGTGTTCCAAAACATAGTGTGCTTCCTTGCGGCATAGGCAGCATCCTAACTGAAATGGAGCCTCATTAGTAACTGCTTTGGAACATTCTACTTAGGCAGCGAAAAGCATTAAAAATATATATTATTACAAATACTTGATGCATTTATATGTATGTTTAGAGGAACTTTGTTGTCTTTTGTTGAACATACCATAACGATAGATAGATAAACGAAGATAACGCTTTGTCCGTCATTGGACTTTTTGCATAAAACATATGCGATAAAGCAGGCCCAGGTAGAGGGAAGTCTTTGAATGCATGGCAGCTTGATGCTGACAGATATGAGTGAGATGTTCGCAGGATAGTTTCTGCTGTAAATCAGCAGGGTGGCACGTCTTGCAGTGCTGCAAGGCTTTTATGACGCCCATAAAAACAGATGCGAAGGTATGTTTCCCACATACGTTAATGGATCGTCAGACAGTGTGCAAGTTTGTGAACGCTCATCCCTTTATAATCAGATATGGTCACAAAATAAGTCGGCCTAGACACTGATGCTTCACATGTAAATGACTGCTGTAGGTGCCACTGACAGCCTCTTCAATGGTCCTGCGGTGGCAGTTTGGAGCCCCTTCATGTTAAAAAAAAAAGTTATAGCCATGTTTGCAAGTCGTTTTGCTGCAGAAATCACTGCTGTGTGATAGAAATCTGATCATGTGTTACTAGAGTATTCTGATCAGCAGAATGTGTAAAGACCGAAATGTCATCAGTGTTCACTCAAGTGTGCATGCATTTGTGTGTGCGCTTGCGTGCATCATGTCCTAGTGTGTGTGTGTGTGCAAACCAGATGCTGCTTTCCTGTTCAGATCCCATTATCAGATGGTTCTGTAACCTGATTATTCAGCAACTGCGCCTAATTCGTCAGTCTCGTACAGAGCTCGGCAAAAGTCTCCATTATCTGATGATATTTGTATAAATTGGTGAAATTTTGAATCAAAGAGAATATCGATGCACTGCTTGACATATAATGGCTGTGTTCCAAAACATAGTGTGCTTCCTTGCGGCATAGGCAGCATCCTAACTGAAATGGAGCCTCATTAGTAACTGCTTTGGAACATTCTACTTAGGCAGCGAAAAGCATTAAAAATATATATTATTACAAATACTTGATGCATTTATATGTATGTTTAGAGGAACTTTGTTGTCTTTTGTTGAACATACCATAACGATAGATAGATAAACGAAGATAACGCTTTGTCCGTCATTGGACTTTTTGCATAAAACATATGCGATAAAGCAGGCCCAGGTAGAGGGAAGTCTTTGAATGCATGGCAGCTTGATGCTGACAGATATGAGTGAGATGTTCGCAGGATAGTTTCTGCTGTAAATCAGCAGGGTGGCACGTCTTGCAGTGCTGCAAGGCTTTTATGACGCCCATTATTATTTAAAAATGAGCTAAAATAATAATAAAATAAATGGGAATGCATAATAATAGTAGTAATAATATTTTTTATTGTATAACATTTTTAAATATTAAAAATAATAATAATTATTAAAAATGATAGTTGTTTTTTTTATTATTATTTCATATATATGCTGTTCAAAAGTTTTTGAATGAAGTCTCTTCTGCTCACTAAGGCTGCATTTTATTTGCTAAAAATAAATATTAAAAATAACTTTTATATTTTAATATATTTTCAAGTTTCATTTATTTCTGTGATGCGCAGCTGAATTTTCAGCATCATTCCTCCAGTCTTCAGTGTCACATGATCCTTCAGAAATCATTCTAATATGCTGATTTGCTGCTCAAGAAACATTTCTTCTTATTTCTTATCAATGTTGAAAACAGTTGTGCTGCTTCATATTTTTATGGGAACAGCAATAAATATTTTGGGGGGGATTCTTTGATGAATCATTGAAATCTTTTGTGACTAAATAAAGGTCTTTACTTTCACTTTTGATCATTTTAATGCATCCTTGCTGAAAAAAACTTATTCATTTCTTTCATTCATTCATAAATTAATAAATCTATCTTACTGCCTCCAAACTTCTGAACAATGGTATATGAAATAATATTATTATTATTTTTTATTATTTTTTATTTGTTTTTATGTTTATTTTTTACCATGTTGTTTGACAGGTGCATTAAAAATGTAATAAGTATATCCATCTGCCTAACTTTTTTCTTTCTCTTCGCTCAGGTGAAGCCCAGCCCTCTGTCCTCAGAGTGGAACGGGAAATCGGAGAACTGTGTGTTAAACATCAACTCCTCCATCTACGACGAGATCCAGCAGGAGATGAAGAGGGCCAAAGTGTCCCAGGCCATGTTCGCCAAGGTCGCCGCCTCGAAGAGCCAGGTACGGCCCGCCCCGACCGACCTCCGACTTCGACTTTCACTAGCCTGTCACACTCAAAGCGCTCGTCCGGTTGACAAAACATTGTCAAACATTTCTGTGTACTGTCTACAGAAAGCTCAGATAGCGAGATAAAAGCGTAAAAGGAGAGCTTTGTTAAGCCTCGCAGGTAGCACAGCGCCGTAATGACTTGCGCCACTTTATTGTGGGTTTGCGAACAGCAGACAGTGTTGCAACATAAAACAAATGTGTTTATATAATTCAGCTGTGCAACGACCACACCGTTATCTCACATAGCGAACAGTCTTCTGCTGAATACAGGCCTCTGTGAGAGACATTACCGTCTGTTTTAGCCTATTAAAACTAATTAAAGAAACGCAAGGCGAGACCTATTATTAAAGGTTTCACATATCTATGTGCACACTTAAAGATTTTCACTATTACATCTGATGGGGGGGAAAACGCGAATAAAAGCCCTAAATGATCTAGAAATATCAGCAGGTTTTTGCTGATTGCACTGATTACGGTGCCAGATACTTTTGTTTCACCAAATTACAGTTTGATGCACAAACCACTGTTTTTGTCGAAGGGAGTTCAAAGCCGAGAAGGGTGGAGGAGAGAAAAGACAAATCGGGGCATTTATTCGCGTAAGATTCTTCTGAGAGAAAAGAGCCCCCTCTCTGCCTGAGCCTGTGTGCTCCATTCATGGCTGGTGTGAATGTGAATTGAGCAGCAGATAAGAACTGTGCTAATTACGCAGCTGAAAAAGGGGCCTGGGAGAGCACTTATCTCCGGCTCCATCTCGTAATGTGCGCTCCCCGGGCAGCTGGTACCCCCTCCTTCCCGTTCCCAGCCCCCCTCCGCGGGGCCCACGGGGGCCGCCGGCTGAATGTCCGGCCGGTCCCGGCGCCGAGCGATCATAGTTACGAAACGGCCACTGCGGTGTCGTAATTAGCGGTGGGGAAACTCTTTTCCAATTGAGGCTTGACGATTGAAGAATCGTAGAGGGAAGTCGGCTGGTATCGACAGTGATTACTGCACATTTTCACTGTGATCGGTCAGTGTGATCGCATTTTGGGTGCTTATAATGAAGAATAGTGATCATTCTTGTCTGAAAATACACATTTAGTCATTTTACGAGGCCACAGGCCAAAGCTACATTTCTGATTATCATCAATGTTGAAAACCGTTGTGCTGCTTTATATTTTTGTGGATACCATAATCAAATCTTTTAATTATTTGATGAATAGAAAATTCAAAAGAACAGCATTTATTTGAAATAGAAACTTTTGTAGCATTATATATGTCTTTACTGTCATCAATTTAATGCATCCTTTTTTAATTAATTTCATGTAAAAAAAAATGTCTTACTGACTTTTGAATAATAGTGTATGAAATGCATATATAATTTTTTTAAATGATAATAATAATATTTTTCCTATAGTTTATAACAGGCCAAAGCAATATACGAATGATGTCTTTTGTCTTGTCTCTTGTCTTTTTAGAATGTCAAAGAAAAAAATTATGAAATGCATTCTGATTGAAGTACAATTTATGATTTCGGAACTAAGTAGGATGACAAACTGGGTAACACATTACAGTAAGTTCCTGTTAGTTAATGCATTAACTAAAACTCAAAGTTTTACCACAACCTGCCGAAATATAAGTTTGGCTTAATTTGAAGAAATTATGACAGAAATGTATTGTAGAGTAGAATGTACTTCTAAAAGTAATAACAACAATAATATAGTTATTAAAACACTATTTGTTGAGGAATATCACACAATCATAGAAAATGTTATTTGATTACATTTTTTAAAGATCAATGACATTTTTAAAGTTGTATGGATTCATGTGATTATCACCGCTTTTGTTTTATTTGAATTTGTATAAAAAAATTAAACTGAAAACATAATTTGGGAAAAAATTAAATTGAATTTGGGGGGAAAAAACAGATTGCATAATTTCATTTGATTACATTTAAAATATCAGTTAAATCAATAAAGTTTTATGCGCTCATTTAATTACCACAGTTTTAAATAATACATTTGTATTAAATCAAATCAAAAACTGAAACCGAAAACACAGAATTTGGGAAAAAAATAAAACTGATTTTGGGAAAAATAAACCAGATTTCATAATTTCATTTGATTGATAATTGCAATTGGTTTACATTTTAAAAGACAATAATATAATATAATATAATAGAATAGAAAGTAAATAAATAAACAAACAAAACTGAATAGATTTTATAGGGCCCTAATGTTAGCTTATGCACATTAAATAATATTAACAGATACAACTTTTGATTTTATGATTAATAAATGTATTTTTCACAATTAGTTCAAATATAGTTAACTAATGTTAGTAAATGGACTGTGTTTGTGTCTGTCCCTCTCGCCCCCTGCCTGGCTGAAGGACCTCGGGGTCCTGGATGGCGTGTGGTGGGAGGCGTTTTGCCGTATGGTTATCTTCCGTGGCGTGTCGGATTAATTGGCACGTCCATCAGTGCAGGAATCCTCATCCGTAGCGGAGGTAGACTGCAGCAGCACTGGCCGCAGCACATGCTAGAGATCTGGCACAGGCCACGGGTTTGGCTTCCGCAGCCATGGGGCTCCAGACTCGGCCCAGCTCTGCCCTCAACAAGAGCCACGCAGCGCTCGTCCCCTGGGCTTTCAAAGCCGTTAACAGTAGTTTGAGGGGGTTAAAGAGAACCGTCGCATGTGTGTGTGAGTGTGTGTACCTGCTTACTCATGTGGCCGCGTGTACGGCTGTGGTGTAAATGAGTGTGTGTGTGTGTGTGCTGTTTATTGGGGGATGGGCACTGGATCTGCGCCATGTCGTCCCCCTCTCTGGGCACACATCCATACAGGACGTGAGTGCCAGGCTTTATCTATTTGGTGGCACTTTCATATTCCGAGTAGCATTTCAATTAATTTCTCCTCCTGCACCACAGAAAAACCACCGTTTCTGCAGCTTGTAAACTGAAAAAGAAACATAAAAACAGTTTATTTGTGCGTTCTCGTTGACGTCGAGTGCAGAGTTCGTGAAATCGTGACATTTTGGAGGTGAAACGCAAGCCGTTGAGGTTCCTAATGGCAAATTTCCTTCCTTCCCTCCTTCAGTGCAGGAAATTTTCGCCTGTCCAATTGTAGGTTTTATTTGAAGTATCATCCATATGGCACAATTTATGAACGTAAGTTTAAGGTCAACATGAAGTGCTGTTCATAACTGATTTTCTTACATAATCTAGTGATTTTTTTTAAGGAGTTAAGATAAGGTAAGGCTGCATTCCTTTGCCCAAAAATACAGTAAAATCAGTAATATTGTGAAATATTATTACAGTTTAAAATAGTTGCTTTCTATTAGAATATGTTTTAAAATGTAATTTATTCCTGTGATCAAAGTTGAATTTTCAGCAGCATTACTCCAGTCTTCAGTGTCACATGATCCTTCAGAAATCATTCTGATATGTTGATTTGCTGCTCAAGAAACATTTCTTCCTATTATTATTATTACCAATGTTGAGATCAGCTTAATATTTTTGTTGAAACCATGATACATTTTTTCAGGATTTATTGATGAATAGAAATATTAGAAATTTTGAAATATTTTGTCACATTATAAATGGCTTTACTGTCATTTTTGATAAAATTATTCTGTCATTGCTGAATAAAACTATAATAGTTATTATTTTAAAAATATCTTACTGACTCCGAACTTTGGAATATTAATGTATATCAAGTAAAATGTTAAATAGATAATTTTTTTATTCTAATAATATATTAGAATAAAAATTTTTTTGATATAATTATTAGTAAAAAAATATTAAGAATTTAATCATTAATTTAATCGTGGACATTTCAGAATAGAACCAGGGATATGGAGGGAGCAGAAAAAATAAATAAAGGATGAAATAGAGAACGTTTATAGTTTTACAGTTTAATTTAACGATTAAAAATGAGAAAATACATACAAATATTAACAAATATTTTGGAATAACATGCACTGATGAATCATTCACAATAATACCAGGAACATGTAATATTACATAAAAAGGTTCAGTTTTGATTTCATGTCGAGTAGATTTAGAGGTTTGTTAAATTCCCTAATTTTGAATATGAGCAATAGTGAAAGTGACGTATGACTGAGCAAACACCACTAATACAGACATGACAGCGCTGAACTGGCATTCACAGAGCTCTTCTGGGGCTGAGAGAATAGAGAGAAGAAGGGCATTATGGGAGTTGTGCTGACACCCTCTGATGGTGACTACAATCACGGCCCCTGTTGTCAGATGACAAGCCCTTTAGAACCCAGAGCCATTCCCTCAGAGTGACCTGTCTCTCTCTCTCTCTCTGTGTGTCTGTATGTCTCTCTCTCGCTCCTGGAAGAGGCTGTGGTAATTAGCAGGGCTCTAATGAGACAGAATGTCAGTGATCTGCCGCAGTACAGGGGGCAGGCGATAGGCCGGTGTGTGTAAAGCAGGGGGGTAGAGGAGGCTGTGCCATCTGTCACTGAGCGCCTGGCTCGCTGCTCTCTAGGGGGGAACAGTGGGTCTGCAAAAAGTGAGAGAGAGAGAGAGAGAGAGAGAGAGAGGTATTTAAAAATGTGCAGGATAGACTGTATATCAATACAAAATTGCAGTTGTGATTTCAACTGGTGGTTGACCGATTTAGTTATATTCCGAGTAGTATTTCAATTAATTTCTCCTCCTGCACCACAGAAAAACCACCGTTTTTGCAGCTTGTAAACTAGAAAAGAAACACATAAACTGTTTATTCGCTGTTGTTGACATTCAATGCAGAGTTCAATGTGAAATCGTGAGGTTTTGGAGGTGAAACGCAAGCTGTTGAGGTTCCTAGTGGTGAATTTCCTTCCTTCCCTCCTTCAGTGCAGGATATATGTGACCCTGGAGCACAAAACCAGTCATAAGTTGCACAGGTATAGCCTATTTGTTGCAATAGACAACAATACTGTACATTGTATGGGTCAAAAGTAGC